GTCACTTGCGTTACCTCTTGATTGAGCACTGCTGTATGGAAGGTGTGCATACAGAAGTTTAATGTGCCTATTATGTTAATAAAATGCTATGTAGGCTGCGCATCTAAATGAGAACAAGAGATATTGCCACGGAGATGAAGTAAAGGATGAGGAAGAACTGAAGCAGCTGATAGGCACGCGAAGGTGTTAATCAGCCATTGTGAATCTTGCCTGTGGGTTTCCCCTGTAAACGCATTTTGTACAAAAGTCTCTAACCCCGTAACAATATTTCACTGGCTATGTGAATGAAACTTATACAGTCAATCCTAAATGGCTGTGCAAACGATGTACCTGATGAAACTGTGCCTGCTGTCATTATGTTTCTTGAACACATGCTGCATACGACTTTTGCAGCATACTTTTACTGTTACGAATGAGTGAATGCTTCACATTATTCAGTTCACTTGTATTGCAATCAGCGCTGGGCACTAGTTCATAACGAATTGACATGAATGTGTTGCCAGTGTGTGCAGATAATGCATTAGTTTGCTTAATTGTGGTCTGTCGCTGATGAATACTTTGCTTTTTCAGAAATATTTGACGTTGTACAATAACCAAATTCACACAGAAACAATGCCTGTGCCCTCATATATTCCTGTGTGTTTCTGTTCAGTGTTGAGTGCTGAATGTATTTTAAAAAATGCAGTGGTTTGGGCAAGCTAACGACCTGAACACCGCCTTTCAAGCACGCTTGTATTTTTCATAATTTTGCAAAGTACAATCACCTAGTAATAAAAAATAATGTTTCTTGGTTCAAGTCCATGCATGTACAGCTTCAAGTGCATGCACATGGTACCAAACATTTTTGTGCATGCTCACATTTCGTTAGCCTCTTCTGCTGTGATGTGGCTGCTGCAAGAGAACATGCAATATGTGATTCTGTCAGTGCTATTGTGTGCATCTTTAGAGCATTTTCACTGTTTTGCTACAATATAAGTACTTATGCTGCATTCTTGTAATGAATATGTGCAATGCTTGCCTATTAATAGCCTCATGACACATGCAATAAGCGATCTCTTTAGATTTTTGTATTGAGCCTTCCTTCTTTAGGTAACTGAGAGCCGAGAATGACACAGAAGTACACTCAATCTCATTCTTATTGTTCTGTCTTCAATATTCTGTTTTGTGAAGCTGTCCACGTACCACTTGTACGGTATGCTATATTTTTTGCGTTGTGCTGATGCATTGTGCTATGCTACCAAACATTTCATTTTCTGTTCAATTGAGGGTAAGCATTATTCATTACCATTGATCAATGACACTCAAGTCGCACAGTACCCTGAAAGAATGATGCACAGAGTTATTCTCGTAGCTGTAGCCACAATTATTCGACATGAAAACTGCCCATTGCCATCATGTTCATGATCACATGCATGCCCACTGTGAATTACCTCTTGCGACTTCTATATTTATGTGCAGTGTACTTATGTGTATTGATATGTGTGTATTTATATGTATGTATAACAGTCATGTGAATTAAATCAACTTTTTTGTTTAGTACCAATAGTCGGCTAATATTGAACTTACGCCACAGGCTCAGACTCTCCTTCCATATTTCAAGCATGGCCTCAAAATGGGGCCATTTTATGTTGGAATGTCGGCTCTCCGGCTCCACTTCTTTGTTTTTCACGTAGTCTTCTTGTTTCCTTTTGAAGATATCAGGCAGGTTCTTAAATTGTTTCTTAACACAGGACACCTAAAAACAAAGCCCTTGCTGTAAGAATGTACTTGTGCATACTGTATCGCTGATAATTTTTTACTTTATTTCAGCCAATTGGGAGCGGTCTTTATTTTTTTTTGCCCAGATCGTTTCGGTTTGCAGCACCCTAGAAATCTGAATATTGGGCATCAAAATGAATCGCATGCCATCTAATCTTAAGTATTGGTAGGGACTTAAACATTGCGAAACCACGACATGATTGAGGGAACCTGCAGCCGAGGTTCCAGAAATGCCACCCACCTAGGGTTTTGGACCGTCCACCTACTTGTGCACGACATCACAGCTGACGCAATGATTAGTTGCGCAAAGAGTTATGTACACTGTTTCTTGAAGGTAAGTATGTCTGCCAAGCTATTGTAACAAAGAGGCTGTTATACTGTAGGAAATTGAAGTTCACTAGCAAAATGTCTATTTCATGAACCAGAACATGATGTCTTTATCACCTTCACAGTGAAGCTTTCTAAGCATTACTGCATTGTGCAAAACTCCACCGGTGAGTATATACCATTGGTATCGGCCAAGCGCAACTGTCGTGTGCAGCGGGAGCGATTGTTGTCAAACAAAAGCAATCATGTTAAATAACTTGAAAAGAAGGATGAAGCTAACTAGAGCAAGATGACAATTTTTGAGAGAAAGAATTGCAACAAACATAGTATATGACTCAAAGTTTAACTTAGGAAGAGCGAGAGGAAGGAAAATATAAGAAGAAAATAAAGGGACCAAAACATCAATACATACCAACACATAGTAGCAGACATGAAAACTTGACTTTAAAATATCCGACGAGCCCCGAACGACGGGAGTCGACGGACGGAAAAGATTGCCTGGCTCACCGTTTGCTGTCCCGGAGAGTATCTGACCGCTCCCGACGCAGCGCGCGAAAACCTCTCGGGGGTCCCCGCGCGCGGCGCCACAGTCAACATCCGCTTCCGGGTGAGGGAGTTAAACGTCACTCCGCTCTCCCACCACGGCAGACAGCAAAGGAGGGCAGACATGTCGGGACATGAGAACGGCAGAAAAGGCGGCAAAGCCCGCGCAAAGGCAGCGGGCTAGCCTCAATTCCCACATCTTCCACACCACGGGCTACAACTGGCGTATGCGGTTGGGGGATAGCTTGTGAATCAATGCAGCAGGGGTGCAGGAATGTCAGCACTTGGCTAATCTGTTGGTTTTTTTTGTATTTTTTCTTCATTGCGTGTGTTCAGCCACACACAGTAAGAGTTGCTATCTGGAGTTTAACGCCCCAACACCAACATTTATTATGAGAGACGCCATACTGGAGGGCTCCGGAGATTCTGACCACCTGGGGTTCTTTAACGTCCACCAAAATTTGAGCACACGGGCCTACAGCATTTTCGCCTCCATTGAAAGTGCAGCCGCCGCAGCCGGGATCCGATCCCACGACCTGCAGCTCAGCAGCCAAGTACCTTAGCCACTACACCCCGCGGTGGGGCTACATAAATAGTAACATAAACAACGTATGTCCACATACAGATGGAGTGCTCATTCATTAAAATTGAATGATAACAAAATGCCTCCTGTGAAGTCCTAACAGGCATTGTGCGCAATAGTGTTGAACAGCTAGGTTGAGGTTGTGTACGTGATAAATGTTGGGTCGCTATCACAAAAAACTAAAAGAAAATCCACATAGGATGGAGGTGCCGCGGTTTGAACCCGGGACTTCTCGCATGCGAAGCGAGCGCTCTACCACTGAGCTACACGCCCTACAGGCAAATATCTCGCCTATGCTTTCTATAAATAGACAGCAACTGTGCATTGCATTATTCGGGGCTTATTTTGCAAAACTATAATTTCAGAGGAGTGCTTTCTCATTGGTCACAAGGCTGCATAAATGATGTGTTTATTTCGTAATTGCGCGAAATATTATTTCCCCAATGTCTTCAGCATAATAGGTCTTTGGGAATATGAGCCCTTTTCCGCCAACATTAACTTTAGTACTTCGTTCATTTTTTTCAACACATTTCCGGTGGGATGCACACAAGGTGAGGAACAGGACATTCTCACATGTATATTCCGAAACTGCCAAGGCATGGCTACAGAATCTTTGAGGAGGCCACCGGAACAGAGGCCATTATTACTAGTCCTTGGCAAGTGACAATATCTCAAGAATTCCATCTGACTCAAGTAAAAGTAACATTCCGTTCAAAGAAAATTATCATTATCTGTATGCTTCAGGTGCTTGTTGGACTCTCCGTATCCAGTTCTTTTACGGGGCCTTCAAGTTAAGGCCGCCTCGATGCTGATGGACAGCAAGTCACACCACTTCCCTTACCATAAACGAATGATAATGTTACGTCTGAACTTGGCACCTATGAAATCGCGTTATAATGCTAATTCAAGGGGTTGAATAGAAGTGCCGACGCGGACATCTGTCGTTGGAGAGATTTCAAACTCTTGTCGCGGCATGTTCGTGGTGCGGCGGTGCATCTACGCATGAACGCTATAACAGGGATAGCACACTTTTTGCAGAACATATTTTAAATGATCTTTAATAGTGCGGTATGAGTTATTGTCATTTCATGCAATAAGACATGTTTGTACTAAGCGGTGCAATGACAGCGTTCTCCTGAAATAAACTGTGTGCCTTAATACTAATGTTTATATAATTCTATAACGGTGGAGGCGTGTACAGGTGACTGTGGGTGCCCTGGAACAAACCATAGATGGCGAGTCACGGCCGCTATTCATGAGGCATTTTTCTTTATCGCAATACCTCACCAACCCCGGGGCACGGCTATAAATTGAGTAGCTGGTATGTGCTATGATATGAAAGACTAGCACTCGACTTCGCAGTTGAATAAACAACATGCACAGTATATCTGAAGCCTCATAAATGCTAAAATACTGCAAACACAACAAAACGAACCTCACTAAATAGTTGGCGCCACCTTATTTTTGGAATGTACTACTTGAAGTGAATTTATGCTATTGAATGAATCTTCATAATCATCGCCACGAGATAAGAACAGCAGCACGCTGCTCGTGGCGCTTGTGCCGAAGTCAAGCCTTAATATAACGGTGGAGCTAACCATTTCTGGCTTAGGCCGGCGCTCTTGATTTGGCATCTATCTTCCTCAACTACCACGAAAGCACCACATGCCACGGAGGGGTGCAGAGCGGCCACCGCAGCGGGCGTTCGACAACGCCACGTACGTGATATCGGGAGAGCAGCTGGCCGCCGAACCGCGAAACTACAGTGACCCCGTGTATGGACGAAGCTATGGCGCGAACCTGCCTAGACCCTTCGACGAACAAAATCGGCCGCTGGGTTACTGTCACTCTAATGCAGATCTTTGCACTGGGAAGCCTGTGTGGATTGCAAGGCAACAGGGAATTCTGCTTGGCGGCGAAGTATGGTCCGGAGTGCGTCGTCCAGTCCCAGCCCCTGGCGAGCACCTTAGTCATCAAGCACGAGTTGGACCACATAACGCCGTCCGGCCTGGTGCGAGGGCTGGCACCAGTGCGAACCGAGGCGGCGACAACGAGCCATCGACGAGCAGCGCGACGACGAGCACTGAAACAACCAGCAACGGTAATTACCACAGTACCGGTGGCAGCAAGCCCTGTTATGCTCGCATCCCGACCACTGGTGGTGTATCGGCGACCGCTCGGCTGCCCACGCACCGCACCTTCCACACTCGCCTGAGCGTTCGCTCTCCGCCGTACAAGAGCCACGAACGACGGGTGTCCTGGGCTCCGTGTGCACTTGCGTCATATTGACGCTGATAATGGCACTCCTACTGCTCATCTCCCTCGTCGCTATGGTTCGCTCGAATGTTACTATGGACGCTGTGTTTTCATCTGGTCACCCGAATGTCAAAAGCCAGAAGCTGCAAGTCTTGATGTCGTTTTTTGCTCCCAGGGCAATCACACATGCTTCGGCGTTGCCCGTCAAGTCATCACTAGCATCATTGGCGAGTGGTAGCACCTGTTATGCCTGCGAGTCCACAGCGAACGGCCGTGCCTCTGAAAAAGGCAATCTGTGTCAAGGCCAGTCCGCCTGACGCGATCAACAACTCAATGGCGCCTCTGGCGTGCACGTGCAGTGAGTCAGCCTCGGCAAGCGACCCGTCGAGTAAACAACTGTCGTCTTCATGTCTGGGGGTCTGACGCATTTCGCGGCGACCCCATTGGAGGAGTCTGCCCTGACGACCAGCGGCGTTTCTGATTGGACATTTTGGTTGAACCCGGTGCATATAAAAGAAGCCCTGCGGCACGTCGCGATCGGCGGTCCTAGGGAAAGCGGACATGTGTGTCAGATCGGACCCGTTTGAGAGCATACCTATGTGTTAGAGAGGAGAGCTCGGCTCTTCGAGTCTCTGTCGGCCCCAGTGCCGAATTTGTAACGCCTCTGTATATATGCTGTACATAAACCTTGTTTAAACTCACCGTCGTCTCGCCCGCTCGTCTATCAGCTCTGCGCAGAAGCAGTCGCGAGCTGAGAAACCTACGCTACCAAACGGCTGGTGTTTCCCGGCGGAGTTCGAAGCCGTGGCGCCTTCGGGACCGTGTTGGCGTCGCCGTCTTTCGAAACAGTGGTTGCAGCGGTGAGATTTCGAGGCGCCCTTCGTAACGTCGTCGGAGGTGCGCTTCGCAACAGTGGTTGGCAGCTGCGGGATCGGCCAGCGTCAGCGACATCGATGCGGTGAGTGCCTGACGTTTTCCCCTCAGTTCACCAGACTACTCTAGCTCAGGTTGTAGTAGTTTAGAGAAGTGCTGTGTGAAGCATTCGAGTGAGCTTTGATCGTTTCAAGCCAAGTTGAAGTGCTTTGAAACCAAAGTTAATGCGGAGGTGGTAAACACGGGACTGTGAAAAATTGCTTGCGCGTCTCGCTAGTAGGCTTATAGTGGGTACGGCAAGTAGATTCTTAACAGGGGAAACAGCAAGAGGCTAGTGTGAACGATGGAGAACCTTAAAGTGAAGGAACTCATCGATATTTGTGAGGAACTCGGCATTACTTTGGGCCGTGCGAAACGAAAACAAGCGATCCTTGAGATCATGAAGCATGAGGGAGTGTCGGCTGAGGAAGTCGATGAGGCCTGGGTGGATATCAAAGCACGCCGCGAGGAGGCTGAAAGGCGAGAAGCTCGCGAAGAAGCTGAAAGGCGCGAACGTTGCGAGGAGGCCGAGAGACAGGAGCGCCTTGAGTTGAAACGAATAGAATTGGCAATCCTACAGTGTTCGCAGGCGCCTAGCGTAGCTTCTCCGACGATTCAGGTCAGCGGTTTTAGAATTCGGGACCAACTGCCACCGTTCGTAGTAGGCGAGGACATGGCGAAGTATATCGTCAAGTTTAAACACGTCTGTGAGCGAAACGGTTTGGAGCGGTCTCTTTGGGCGCAGAACCTGTTAGCTCTTCTTCCCGGCGAAGTGTCCGACGCGATAACTTGCTTGTCGAGGGAAGCGTTTGAGAGCTATGACGAGGTTAAGGAAGTGCTCTTGAGACGTTATAAGTTGCCACCCGAGGCTTTAAGGCAAAGGTTCCGGTATGCTGAAAAGGGGAATGAGTCACACGTTGAATTCGCATTTCGTCTTAAGGCCGATTTTCAAGAAGGACCCGTCTCTTACAAATGACACTGTAGGGGAAGGGCAAAAGGAAGCGGAGAAATCGAGTGAGGTTTCTACCACACGGGCATTTGAATCACTGAAGCCGCTAATCTGCTACAACTGCAAAAAGGAAGGGCACATCGCGAAACTGTCAAGAAAAGTTTGCCTTCGCAACGATCCGAAAATCTGAAAAGAACATGCGGTTGTTAGAGCCGTATATCCAAGAAATTAGGGTGAATGAGAAAACGTGCCGAGCACTTAGAGACTCAGCGGCAACCATGGACGTTGTCCATCCTTCATTGGTGTCTCCGCGTGACTTTACAGGAGAACGCGCGTGGATCAGGCAAGTCGCCGAGGAGCAGAGTGCTTGCCTACCAATAGCTACGGTTGTCATTGAAGGCCCGTTCGGTAAGCTTCGCACCGAAGCGGCTGTGTCTGCCGCGCTAAACGATCGTTTTCCTTATCTTTTCTCCAACAACTCACAGCAGCTTCTCAAAGAGCTGGGCAAATCGTTCTTCCCCAACTTAGCGTACATGGCCCTCACGCGATCGCAAGCGCGAAAGCTTTCGCAGAAGCTTGATCTTGCTCAATGCGGTGAACTCTCAAATGACCTTGTCGGCGGGTCGACGGAACCCCAGAAAGGAAATTTTCCGCGTGAGTCATGTGAGCAGTCACGCGAGCGGCCCGTCGCCGAAGCGACCGGCGTGGTATGCGTAGGGGGAGACGACATGGCGCCATTGAGTCAGAGCGAGAGGGTTGCAACGCTCTCGCCTGTAGCGGAAAGTTGGAGCGAGCTGCCGAGAGTTGATCGAGAGACGCTCATTCGAGAGCAGCGTGAGGACCTCTCGATTGAAGCGTTAGTGGAAAGCCAGAAAAACGCGGCACAAGTGCTGTCGAAGGAGCACTACGAGAAATCGGTGAAGCATGCTTTTGAATTAGGAAGTCAGGTAATGCTGCTGCAGCCATCCAAAAGGAACAAGCTTGAGGTTCGTTGGTAAGGGCCCCCCAAAGTAATATCTAAGCTTTCCGATAGGAATTGTGAAGTGAAATTAGAAAGTTGGCCGAACAAAATTTACAACTTGATGAAACCATACTTTCAACGTCAAGCGGTCGTAAATCAGCTGTTGAATGCTCCAGAGGAAGAGGGAGCGGAAATTTTGAATTCGAGTGAGGTAATTGAAAGGGGATCTGAGGTAATTTTGGAGCAGTTGAACCTAGAGCCTAGGTTAAGTGAAGTCCAAAAGGAGGACCCGAGAAAGATTGTTTCCAATATTGGAGACGTGTGTTCGGACCGTCCCGGAGACACGACGGTGATCGGACACGATATAGAGCTAACTTGTGAGGAGCCGATCCCTAGAAACCGTATCGTTGTTCCCCTCTGCAACGTCGCAAGTACGAGCAGCTGTTGGTACCGCATAGGTATCGTCGCCTTAAAGTGGCCGAGTGGCCGGTTACTGAGATGGAGCAGGATACTCCGACAGCGCAACTTTGACGTTCGCTAAAAAAACGGAAAGCTAAACGCTAATGCAGGCGCATTGAGCAGTGCGTTCTAGTTAGTACCTTGTCAACCTTTCGGTTTCTCGCTGGCGATTCGGGGCAAAATTTTGACCTCATCACGACCTTAGCTGAGCGCTCTCGTCCAGAGTGAGCTCAAGGAGCCAACTTTATGTTGTATTCTAATTCGTTACGTTGTTGTACATGGAAAAAATTTGAGTTGTCATTTAAGGGTCTTTTGTCCCACATGTGCCTCTTGATGTAGAGGGAACAAAATTCCGATAGACACGTAGATAGGTATATGTTGTACTATACTTTGTCTGGTGTTCTGTTGGGTGACCGAGGGCACTTGCTTGTGTCGTGTGTTGTCTGTTGTCGAACCGTTCTTAGCAAGTTGCAGAACCATCGACAAGTGCTGAAACCGAAGATGGTCAGAAGAGACGAGCGAAGTTGGCCAGCAAGTTGTGGCGACAAGCCAGTGGAGCTGGGATCTGTCGACAAGAATGGGATGTGTTCCCGGAACAGAGTCTGGAGCTGCATTCTCCCCATAGCCCTGGAGGGACCTGGCGAACGAGCGCGCCTGTCATCCGAGCCCCGTAAAAGCAGCTCGTCTTTTCGGCGCATTGTCTGGCGGCGGGGGTGCTGTTATGCCTGCGAGTCCACAGCGAACGGCCGTGCCTCTGAAAAAGGCAATCTGTGTCAAGGCCAGTCCGCCTGACGCGATCAACAACTCAACGGCGCCTCTCTGGCGTGCACGTGCAGTGAGTCAGCCTCGGCAAGCGACCCGTCGAGTAAACAACTGGCGTCTTCATGTCTGGGGGTCTGACGCATTGCGCGGCGACCCCATTGGAGGAGTCTGCCCTGACGACCAGCGGCGTTTCTGATTGGACATTTTGGTTGGACCCGGTGCATATAAAAGAAGCCCTGCGGCACGTCGCGATCGGCGGTCCTAGGGAAAGGTGACATGTGTGTCAGATCGGACCCGTTTGAAAGCAGACCTATGTGTTAGAGAGGAGAGCTCGGCTCTTCGAGTCTCTGTCGGCCCCAGTGCCGAATTTGTAACGCCTCTGTATATATGCTGTACATAAACCTTGTTTAAACTCACCGTCGTCTCGTCCGCTTGTCTATCAGCTCTGCGCAGAAGCAGTCGCGAGCTGAGAAACCTACGCTACTAAACGGCTGGTGACCTTCCCGGCGGAGTTCGAAGCCGTGGCGCCTTCGGGACCGTGTTGGCGTCGCCGTCTTTCGAAACAGTGGTTGCAGCGGTGAGATTTCGAGGCGCCCTTCGTAACGTCGTCGGAGGTGCGCTTCGCAACACACCACAAAATCGCTCAGCGTGACAACGAGCTCTCGAAACATCGAAGGAAGAATCGAGCGAATGACAGATAAGATGTCCGAGTTGGCCTCGGGAAAAACACACGCCCATGCCATATTTACGCAACGGACTGAGCGTGAGTTAGCTGTGGTTGATAAACGAGAACGTAGAAGCCGCGGAGGATGCCACGGTCATCAAGTCCTTTCGATTCGGCGTCCCGTGAGTTCGATGGGACCTATTTACGCTGTGCATGGTTGAAGTGGCCGTTTTGTAGTGATGATTCATCACTCATTTTCACAGCAACAGATTTTCGCACTCTGATTGACGTGTTATCACGACCACTTTGGCAGGTTTTGGCGAGGGCTCCTTGGTTTCAGAGTTTATTTTATTTTAATCGGATGGTGTTTCTTTAAGTTTACTTTTCGGGGGGAAATTCGGTGAATATTTATTGTAGTTTCATTTCTCATAAATACCGATTGCTCTAGAATTCGGCGTTGAACTTTGCATAAAAACTTGCCCAATTTGATCGTATTAATTTTATTTCCAATGAATATACGTTGGATTGTGGCTGATGATGATATTTTTTGATCCGGTCACTTTCTTTACACTTGCCACGCTATTTACTTATTTTGTTATGAAGGCTGCCTTGTGCTGATGTAACTCTGTACTGACGTAACCCCACACTGCATTGCAGTAAACTCTCGAAAATGTACCTTTGGGAAATGAGCTGACAAGCTGCATGTCCTCTTTCATGTGCCTGATGAAAAGTAAAGGACCTAATGATATCAATACTTTCAGTACGCAATAAACTTACATGAAAGTATATGTTAACACAGAAACATGGAGACACACTAAAGTGGACTTTAAAAAACCTGTCCTGCTGCGCCACCAATAGCCCACAAACGGCATGACATTGTGGTTATCGGCCATGTCCTCCACGGTTAGCTGCATTGACACACCGCTGCCGGAACTAAAAGTGGAGGCCATGGTCCGATAGCCTGATCACCATGGTGTGTGACGGTACCTGGTTCAGCAATTCAGATTGTCGTCGCTCCACCAGGCACTGCAGATACCGCCAACGTTTACGTGCGAATTTTTGATAAAATTGCAGCATTACACTACCAACAGCGCGGTTTCCCAATCAATTGAACACCTGCCGTAGAATGCACATAGGATCCCAAGCACTCTGGAAAGCCACGGAGTTTGCAGTGCGACACTGTACCTTTGCCAGATTGTTCATATAAGTTCCTGATGTATAGAACCGGGAGTCGTTGTCGACAACTATCTTATTTCGTCAGATATGATTTTTTTCGATTATTCGCCACTTAGTTACAGCAGGCTGCCGCTTTGGCTGACGAGAGATGGCGCTACGTACAGATGTCCCCAAATCATGGTCATGTGACATAGCAATTTTGAACAACCAATTGCAGACATTTGAAGGAGATAATGAAAGGAAATTGCCTAGAATACATGCTGACTGGGTCAGCACCATCACCATTTATATTTCCATAACATTTGCAGGTACGTCCCATGTGCGGCGACGTATACTACACCGTCTGCCGCCCGAGCACCAAACGCGAGTTCCACTACAGGCGTACCGTGAATGTCTGCGTCGAGACGGCCGCTGAAACTATGCTCTCGTACAACCCAGGAACCAACAAGTTCACCTCGCTCGCCCACTTCCGTCGAAGCTGTGCTTGTGTGGGGCGTGGTGCTGCGAAAAAATGCTTCGGCAAGCCATTGCTGACAAGCTGTACCAGGTACCTTATACGAGAGCGAGTTCTTGCTCTAAGCACACTCTGAGTAGAAAGCTTTATTGGAAAGCAACCTCCCGACACACTACCTGGATGTTACTGAGGGTCACAATGCCGGAGTACACTGGTCGTTATCTCGGATAAAACAAGCTGTAAACTTCCACGATCAAATACACGGCGCTACTCGCTAACGGTGTAATTTGGCTTGAAGGCACCGCTAACATGCAATGCGTGTTTGACCTCAAGTATGAACAATGTGCGTATTACGTTTCAGGCAGAACGTTTTGTTCAGCTGGTGGTTCTTCGAGGACCGGGAATGCGTCTCTTGGAACTTCCCGTCTGGTGGATGTCCCGCCAACGACAGCGCCCTCTTCCGCACGGCACACGAATGCAGGTCCCGCAGTTTAAGTGGAAGACAGCGGGACTCACAATGCCTTCCTCCCCGAGTGGTAGCTTGCGATAGCAGCCGCATCAAGTATCACTTCTTTGCCAACCGGTCCATGGGTGATGGTCGCATGCGGTGCCTCCGCTCATCCCCCGACGTGCTGCAATACCGGCGGTGCCTGATTAGAGCGAAAAAATTTCACACGCGCGAAGCGTGCATGGCCACATGCAAAGAGAGGCGGTTCAAATAAGTAGCGCTTCGCTTTCTTTCGAATATGATACTTGCAGATCTAACATTGTCTCAAGCGTCTGCACTGCCAGTTTTACAAGACTGCCTTAGCTAAAGTCATATTTTCTCATTGTGGGAAAATAACGGAAGTGCTTGTATTGTATAAAGGAGTCCCCTTCAATCTTCTAAATAACCACACGCCGATAGCGGTTCTTCACTTTTTTTACATCGAAAGCTGTAATGAGGTCAGAAGTCTGGTCTCTCGCAGCGCCGTAGTTGTCCGCCGTCGCCAGTGTTCATAACCACATCCGTGAAAGTTAAAAAAAAAACTAGTACCCATGACACAGTGGGGCTCATACCCGGGTCCACTGGTTGCCAGCCTAGTATCCTACCACTGAGCCACGCCAGTGCTTGGTACTTGTTGGCAAACTTGCCTTAGGCAGTCTGGATGTCGGGAAGACAATCGCATTAATACGACTTATAAAGCGTTTTAAAACAGCGAAAGAACAAGCAGTCGTCGCAGATTGTGAATAGAGTAACGATTAGGTCGTCCAGTGCTCGAACCTATTAGAAAAGGTTGTTTTTGTTCAGCTAATAACTGTGGCGCATACCCAATTCAGACATAATTCCTCATCGTCGCCAGTCACTGCATAAACAGTTGGCACAAAACTCCTCGCAACAGTTCAGCGGATAACACGCTTCTCAGAAGAATGACGAAAAAAACATAGCAAATGCCAGCGTACTACGCTAAAACATTTATTTTCAATGCCGTAGTGGGCATCAAACAAGTGTACTTGCAGCAGTTACCCAATGAGTGTTTAGAAAAGGCCCTGAAAGACCGCTCTTCTAGCTTTCGCTGTGACTGTGCTGCACCTTCCGCGCAGGCCTCGGTTTTTTTTTTCTCAAGTGTGCTGGTGCCCATGAAAGAATGCCTAGACGACAATAATGCCGTTAAAAATCAGCAGCTTGTCTTTCACTTGCTGAAGTGGCCTTTGTTGACGAAGAAAAAGATTCTGAGTAATTTGAGAAACAAGTTATTCATGGTTCTTTATTCAGCATTGCGTTGAAAGATACCAAAATTATCACGAATATTTGTGTTCCTATTTAGATTATCTTTTTTCGCATGTTCTCCACCTCTACATTTTTCTTATTTTTCTCCTGTTTATTATTAAACTGTATTTTATTTGAATTTGTTTCACAAATTCTACACTGCCGCACGCCTCGTGGATGATCCCCAGTGGTGGGTAGTGCCATGATTCCCGGAATCATCATCATCATCATCATCATCATCATCATAAATGCGCTTTACTTGATCAAGCATATTATCTTCCTCATTCAACTAGCATACTACTTCGAATGGTTGCTGTCAAAATGAATCAAGTTTACTTCATCTCGAGGTTACAATGCACATACTAAAACGGGTTTCATTCGCAAATGAAAGTAACATGGAGTCCTCGAAAGATCAATTCTAAGCTTATGTTCTTCATTTTATATGCAAAAGATATTGTTAACATACCAGTTACCCCCCACAGTAGGTTTGCAAGCTGAAAAACAAGTTTTTTTTTCAGGTAGCCACTATGCGTGTCCGAAAGTACAGCTAATAATTAATTACATCAGCTCCGTGTTTGGCTCTTGGCGGCCGAGCTACAGTTGACTGTCAACACATTCGAAGCCCTGAATAACGAAATCACTGGTGAACAGATGTTTGCTCGTTCTTGTGAGAATTTTGTTGTTTCAAAAATATAAAAATACGCGCCCAAATTGCCTCACATAACCATTCTTTATTCAAAGAAGTAGGTCTTCTAGCTCTCTTTTATGTTGCTTCGAACCAGTTAGACGGCTCGAGCTTGGTATTTTTAGATACAGTGGGCTGTCTACAATGGTGGATGTGGTATAAGGCGTCGCTACCGACTACAGCGCTGTGCGGTGGCACGCGCTCGGTGGCCGCCACGGGGGAGAAGGAAGAAGATGAAATAAACAAGATGTCTTCGTTTATGCTGTGCTATTCATTATGCACGATGTAACATATTTTGGCGACGAGGATTCACCAGCCCATGTGCTACCGGCCTGAACCTCATCTGTGCCCTCGTTTATTGCCTACCATCTTCTACGATGAGTATTTCGGGGCTACAGCCGCCACCTCCGTTCCTGTCGTCACCTGGACACCCGGACATTCCATGGGAGCAATGGATCCAGGCTTTCAAGAATTACATGGTTGCTTCGGGCGCCTTCGACCTACCTGCCATTCGTCGGAAGGCGATCCTGCTCAACTGCTTGGGCTTGGAAGGACAACGTATCTTCCAGACTCTGACGACTACTGACGACCCGTGCCTCGTGCCTGCGAGCGCTGCGGCAGGTACACTGACGTCCCCTAGTCCTGATGTGTTCGACCGCGCCATCGCGACGCTGGAAGGTCACTTCAAAACCACGTTGAACGTCACTGCAGCGCGTCACCGTTTCCGTCAACGTACGCAGGCCCCAGGTGAGACTGCGGCTGATTACGTCACCGCGCTGAGAAGTCTTGTAGGAGCATGCAATTTCGGTGATCTAACGGACGACATGATACGCGACCAGCTCATAGAGAAAACCACAAGTGGATACTTACGTGAACGCCTTCTGCTGGAAGAGTCTCTCACGCTTTCTAAGGCTCTTACCATTGCCAAACAGCATGATCAAGCGACTAATGAAGCAAGAGAACTTGCACAAAATGACTTGCAAGTTCATCGTGTAAAAGATACTTCAAATCACAGAGAACGGCATTGTAGCACATGTACTTGCTATAACATGCACGGTCAAAGTCGCATATCTCCGAAAGAGCAAGTATGTTATCGTTGTGGTTCTACGGCACACCTTGCAAATAGCTCTCTGTGCAAGGCCAAAGCACATAGGTGTCGACAATGTGAGAAAATTGGCCATCTTGAAAAGGTGTGCAAGTCATTGCGGAAGTTTGAGAAGAATGTTCAGCATGTAGCGGAAGGTAACGATACAGCTGATCCAGACGACCATTTAAGTGTTTGTCAGATCTGGAGCCGTAAGAAGGGAATTTACGCAGCGTTGGAAATAGAAGGAATTTCTGTACCATTTTTGATCGATACAGGATCATCGGTTTCGATCCTGGCCGAAGAACTTTACCAACGCTATTTTTCTAAAGCGTATCCACTGAAGTCTACATCCGTCCAGCTTCTCGATTATTCAAAGGCAGCAATTCCTATACAAGGATGCTTCATTGCTACTGCCTCATTTCACGGCCGATGCACTTCTGTTCTACTATACGTTGTGCCTGGGGGAACGACCATTCTGGGATTAGACGGCATCGCTGCTCTGGATATGAAGATCCAAGGGTCACCGCTCAGGTGTCTTCTAATGACGCAAGAAACTCCGGTGCTACCTCCAGAATTACGTTCTGAGTTTGAGCACCTATTTGCAAAAGAGCTGGGAACTGTGAGAGGTTTCACTCACAAGGTCAGAGTTTGCGCGTCTGTACAACCGGTGGCCAGCAAACTGAGACGACTGCCACTTGTCATTCGCGAGCAAGTCTCGGCAGAAGTTCAGAAATTAGAAGCTCAGGGCATCATTGAGCGTGTCGACTCTTCTGAGTGGGTCTCCCCTATTGTCGTAGCCAGAAAAAAAGACGGCTCGATTCGCATGTGTGTTGACTTACGGGAGCCAAACAAAGCTGTGGTAGTAGACAGTTTTCCTTTGCCACAAACTGAGGAGCTCCTGAACAGCCTGGCTGGGGCACAGCGTTTCTCGAAGCTAGACTTAGCTTCTGCATATCACCAGTTACCGCTCAGTTTAGAGAGCCGTGACCTTACCACGTTCATCACTCACGATGGACTATTTCGCTTCAAGAGGGTTTGCTTCGGACTGGCGTCGGCGCCATCAGCGTTCCAGAAAATGATGCACATGATCTTGAAAGGGTGCAAATGTGTCCTATTTTACATTGATGACATCATCGTGTATGGGCGATCCCGAGAGGACCATTTGGGAAACTTGCGCGCTGTATTGCAACGTCTTTCTGATGCTGGCCTCCGGCTCAACAACAAGTGTGTCTTTGACGTGGCAGAGTTGACTTTTCTAGGTCACGTTGTGAGCGCCAAAGGATTATTTCCGTTGATGTCATCCATTGAGGCGATAACAAAGGCACCATCACCTACAAATATTAACGAACTCCGCTCGCTACTGGGGCTTGCAGGCTTCTATTCCAAGTTCATTCCTCATTTTTCGGATGTTGTCGAGCCAATGCGCGCCTTGCTACGAGGACAAGCCTCTTTCGTTTGGAGTGCGGCAGCACAGAGCAGTTTGGAGCGCCTGAAATCTCTGCTCACATCTTGCGAAGTGCTTCATCTTTTCGATCCTCACTTGCCTGTGTTCGTTACAACTGATGCTTCAGGATATGGATTAGGTGCAGTACTTCAGCAAGACAACGGGACCTCACTGCAAACTGTCGCATTCGCCTCCCGCACACTTCAACCGCATGAGCGGAAATACTCAGTCGGCGAACGTGAGGCCCTTGCCTGTGTTTGGGCTTGCGAACACTGGCACGTTTATCTATGGGGACGACCTTTCATCTTACGAACGGATCACGCAGCGCTGGTTACGCTTCTTTCGACGAAAGGCACCGGTCACCGACCATTAAGGATTGCGCGCTGGTCCTCACGGTTGCTCTGCTACAACTATACCGTCGAATACAGGAAAGGTAGCGAAAACGTCGTGGCTGACGCGCTCTCCAGGCTACCCGTCCAGAGTTTAATCCGCGATGCATCAGAAGAGGAATTTATCTGTTTGTTGTCTCCCGTAGTTACCATGCCAGAACTTCAAGAAGCAAGTGCCAATGATCAGATTATCTGTGAAGTTAAGCACTTCACGACTACTTCTTGGCCTGACAAGAAATCACTGTCAAAAGAATTGCTACCTTACTTTTACGTG